ATTTTATTCCTTGTGGTTTTGATAGACTCTGCTTGTAAATCAGATTACAATTTTAATAATTTGTGAATTGAGTGTCAGAATTGATATTAGGTTGTGATTTTCTTTCTTTTATATTTTATCATTTTTATTGTTATTCAATCTTCAAGAATATAATTCCTATTATTATTAAAGATCGCGCCTGCTCTCCTTCAGGAGTAATAATTTGCTCATCTTGTATTGTCACTCGTTAAAATAGTTCAAATCTATGAGATGTAGACCTTGAAATAATAATAGCTCTTGGAGTGGTGCGCATACGTATTAAACTAGTCATAAAACTACCTCAATGCAAATGCCAAATCTAAATGACTTTATGCTGTTTTGATTGTTCAAATTTTACTGCGTGCATTTTTACAACTTTCGCAGCATGTAAGGCATGATAATGTCTAAATATAAAACAATGTGCTTGTATGCTTTTTGAATGTGAAAATTGCATTCCTGTATTTCACCATTTTGCAGCAGAAGAATCAAACGATATTTGTTTGTATTTTTTATCTCCTTCCTTTATTGTTACAATCAAAATTCTTTCAATCAAGTCCATAAAGAACATAATTACTCTGGTTTAAATTAGGTTCCAAGTTAATCATTATTTTTTGTTATAAACCAGATTTAGCATCCTTTACATACTAATCCTTCATCTGCTTATCTGGAGCTTATGGGAACAATAAAGGTTGTTCATTTATATTTTTGCATCTTATATTTGGTAAACTATGCACATTCTATGAAAGGCTTAAAACCTTCCAAGAGGTGTATTGAAGATGATTACCTTACCGGAGGTTATTTGTTCAGAATGTCTAACACCATTTAAATGTTAACATTTATAATGATCACAGGAGCAATTTAATAGATTTGTTACTGGATTAGGAACATAAATTAATTCTTAAGAAAAGTACCTTACATCAGATATTTGATTACAGTTAATATATGATATAAAATAGAAGGTAAACATAGTTTCATAAGATAAGAGCATTTGGTAAATGGATGCAAAATTAAAATTGCACTTTGCTTGAACTTATTTTTATATGAATTAAATTTCTTGATAAAATGAAATTGGTTTAAAGCATGAATTTAAATAATTAGTAATCTACGATTACTTTTGTTATTTCTTAAAAGTAGGAACATCTTAAATCTATTATTGTTAAATATAGATAAATAGACTAATCTTTAGCTGCAACTTCGAATTTTAGAGTCTATTTTATTGGCCTCCTCCTTCTTCTTTAGAAGTTGAATTCAGTGCTATCTAATTTTTACTTTACTTTACCAACAATAATTTTTCTGACACTTATAAGTCCTCCTAAAAACTTCAGCTTTTCTTTCTTCCAATATATATATCAAATTACTTTAAAGTGGTTTAAATTTTAATTATACTTTAATGCTTCATTTAATGTAGTCCAATGTAGGGAGAACATTTTTTAGCCATTTTTGTCCGGCAATTTCAAAAGCCATTCCTAAAAAATTTATTTTGTAAACAATATATCTCTAAATCTTAGAATACCTATATTTTAGGTTTATTGCTGTCGTTTATTTGAAGTACTAAGACTATTAAAGTAGCATTATGTGGAGAGAAGTTTGAGCTTATATTAGATAATTTTCCAATTCAAAAATCCAAAAGAGTTGTAAAACTACTGGGTGCAGTTTAATACATTTACTTGCCACACTCCTCCCCTTAACTTAGTCCTATTGAGAATTTATGGAAATCTTTTAAACAATACATAAGAAAGAATTCACAAATATCCAGCATGAACCTGCATATAATGATTCATTCTCATTTCAATTCAATAACTAATGATTGATTAATAAAACAATTATTTATTTTTACTGCTACTTTCTTTGAAGAAATCATTTGATAAAATTGATTTTTGATTTTTTAGAAATGAAGTTAATATTAATTCGGCTTAGTGTTGTTTCTCTGCCACAAAGCCAATGAATTCATCAAAATAAATTGTGTTTTAAATCATACCTGTTATAAATGGCCATCTTACGTACACTTTTTCCAATAACCAGCCTAATTGTGTACCTTAAGTACTAACCGGAATTTTGTATCTGAAAAATCGTATGGTGGTCCAAAAATAGTCAATTTAATCCAAAAAATGATCACCCTTATTATCATTGTTGATTAGGATTCTATGATCCTTAATAGAAAGTATTTCAACCTTGTAATAATAATTGCACTACTTGCCCAAAAAATAGTGCTCACACAATTCGTGTTGTCATACATGAGAACTCTTTAGCAGCAGATGCAAAAAGGAGATGTTTTACCTAAAGGAAATTTTCTGTTTTCTATAAATGAAATATGCTGTATTTTAAGCAACAACCGATAATCCCTTTGTTCTCACACCGATTCTAGTTATAAGGCATCGAAATAATTCTGCTTTATAATTTCATGAACAATTGTTGTAGATTATTGGCATCTTAGCAATAGTATCATATCATCACTGTTAATTCTTATGTTATGCATGCTAAAAAGATATATATGGTTCAAGCCTTTCATTATACTTTCTTCAAATGCGCAACTCCATTATTTGATTCAATTGTGAAGTTTCTGCGGCTGTATTAGCTCCAGAATCTTGTAGTTGTTGATATTTTATTAAACTTATAAGTATTCTGTTGTAGATTTATCGTTCAATGCAGTTGTATCTAATGGAAAGTTTTAATCGAGGATATGCCAAGCAATCATTAAATGATAGCTTTGCTTCTGCTATTTGTTCCTTATATTTTCAATATTCATTAAGATGAAGCATTGTCTCTGATTCTTATATTCTACTATTGTTAAATTATTATGACATCAGTGTTTTCTTTAATCAAGGCTAAAGATAAAAAAATGTTGTTCTAAGTTCATGTGCAAATCCTTTCTTAATCTGTTATGCTGTTAATGCATACTTTTGTTTGGATCATATATTGGTATTTAAACGCTAAATAAATTGTACATACATTTTGAAGAAATCTTAAATAATCTGCTTATCATTCATACCTAGATAATAGTGCTAACTATGTGTATTAAAGAGTAAAGCTTTTAGTTTATAATCGCTGTCTCTATGTTAAGATCAAAGGACATATAAACTATCCAGGGTCAACGCTTTTAGGAAAATGTTTTCTAAACGTTTTGATTTGCTAGCGCTTGACCCTATGATATCCTTGCTGGCTATTCCATGATCGTCCAATACATGAAATTTGCGTTGATAATACTTATAAACATAGTTTCAATTATTGTAGAATGGCGTAAATCAAGACGAAAATTAAAACAATGAATATAATTAATTATACAAGTGAATACACACATGCTGAACAGCGATTTCATGGATCTTATTTGAATACAATTAGCAAAAAGTATGCTTCCAACAAGGGCAAGTAATATCGTCACAAAAAGTCAAGCATGCCTTGCTAATTAAATTATTTATCAGATTTATTATATCAAATAGAGCAACTATATCAATAAGTTTGGCTCGAATTTATCAAAGTAACACATTTGAACGCAAGCTCAAGATATACAGAAAAGAAGCCCAATAAAGTCAAACATAATACCAAGATATTTGGAGAGGTTATGCAGTTATTGGTAATCACAAATTTATCTTGCAATTGGTGTTCGTTTAACTAATTTTGAAGATGCAGAACTCTATCTGACTTCTAATAAAAAGAACATAGGGTATTCACAACGTTTGCTGTCAAAGGGAATAGGATTCTGACCAAGCTTCTCCATACTATTATCAATTCACAGTCATACCCACAGCTTGAAGCTTTGGATCTAATAATCATCGATAATACCCTATGATAATAAAAATATTGCTAATTGCCCAATATCAAAGTGATCCTTTTAATAGAATCATAATCAAAACCTTAAAAAAAAAGCATTTTATTGTTTCGCTTCTCGTGCTTATGCCTATTCATAGTACTTTCTTAGTTTGTCAAACATCGAATGCTATCTTTTGAAATTTCTCAATCAATTATTCATACGCTATGGAATTTGTGATTTTAATAAAGAATTGAATACGTTATAAATTATTTCCCATATTTTTAAGACAAGTAGTTATTAACATCAGTCTTTATTGATTCCATTCTTGTAGTTATTGTAGGGTCTAAATTAATTCATCTAATTATTCATCAAGTATCACCGCTTATTGCATTCTGATACATTATATGATGGTCTAATTTAATTGTATTCATATAATAATAAGCATGTATATGTACTATGAAAGAAGCTGAAAGCAATACTGTTGCACAGTAAAAATTTATGAGTTGATAAATGACTCATGATTTCCGCTATGTATGCCCTTACAAAACTCTGCAATGTGGATCATCTCATTTATTTGGTTATTGCGTACATCATAGTTCTCCTTTGAATGTAGAAGTTTCTTCAGATCTATCAAATAGAGGTAGTCAATGAATCACCACCTGCAAGAAATGCTAACAGGTGTAAACTTAGGGTAAGTATAGGGTGATAATAAAGATTGTTAAATATTACTAAAATTCAATAATTAATGTAATACTATAGAGAAAGTGAACAATATTTATTTGCAATATGGTGCTGCTCAAATTCATTTAAAATAATTGTAGTATAATGAATGATTTATAAAAAAGTGGTAGTGCATTACTTGAGATAGTATGATCATTAATTTATAATATTAAAATTGTTGCACTATCTGCCATAATATAAATTGTCTCAATGAACAACTTCAGATAATTGTGGTCTTATTTAATTACTAATTACAACAGTGTATTTAAGTCGTTATTTTATTAATATTTCATAATTGTGGATATTTTTTTCAAATGGTAGCAGCATCAAAATCATAACTAGGTAGGTAAATAGCAACTTATTCGTATTACAAATAGCTTGCACCCGAGTACTCTTAAATTTAATGATTAACTTAGCAAGATCAACAGGATTAAAAGGATACACATTATAAATAAATGGCAAAATTCTTAAAAATTCTGTAACAAAGTTTGACATTAATTAAGCCCAGTTGATTCACAATTTATACACCAAATACATGAAAAGGGCTGCCTGATTTATACATAGTTTAAATTTGAGAAATTAAATAATACCTTTAACACATCAACCAGTACTTCTAATTGTTGATTTATGAAATAGATAAAAAGCAATATCAACGTGAAAATGTTGTAAAAAGGAATATTTTGAATGCCACATTATCATGAACAATAGTTAGAACATAAGAATCCATTTTTTTCATTCAATCTAGGAAATAGAAAGTACATATACCTGATACAGTGCTTGAACACCACAATAATTTAAAAGAGAAATGGCAAAACCACTAATTTATACACTTTGTGTAAGCATAACACCAGTCATTTAGAGCAGGTCCTATATATAAAAGGCAATTAAGGATAATTATATCACAGCCGTCCTCAGGAATTTATAAAATCAATAGTTGAAAATTATTAACATATTTTTACAAAACATACAACCATAATTTTTAATCGCTAAATTATAGATATTCCAAGGTTATGGTTTAAAAATAATATACAAGTAGGTTTTATAAAACATTCAAATTAGCACATATTGCATATTTAATAATATTATAAAATTTGCAAATTAAAGGAAAATTTCAAATATACAAATCTCGAAAATTGTCTTTCTTTAGTCCAACTGGTTATTTTGATAAGGATGGTGAATGTGCAAAGTTTTTTAAGATGGCAAATGTTAAATGTGAATGTACATTTTGTAAGTTAATAACAAAATAGAATTTAAATTAATTCTTAATGCATTCATAATAAGGATATTTTTCATCCAGATATCCTGATTAAATATTTTAAGCATGTTTAAATAATATTTAGAATATAATATTGATTTTTAGAATTCTGAGAATACATGTTCATGTCTAAGCTATTATTATTATTATGATTAACCTAATACTGTTTAATTTGAAGAGTAGAGTGCCATAGCATAGTTATAAAATTAATATCGATCATACTTGTTGAACTTATCAAGGTCATACGAGATGAGTGTACATCTAGTAGTTCTCTAAATAAAAGAGAAATTAAATGCCTATGGGGGATGTGTCTGCATGAATCGCTATTTTTTAGCAGAGATACAAGAATTCTAATGTAGATACTAAGCATTATATAAATAGCTTGTAGTGGTGATTGCTTTTTGTTACAATTACTCATTTTATTTGATTTTAATATGAATTAAATATAGACTTTTCTTATCATTTCAGTGTAGAATTCTTTTCAATCTGGTGAAAAGTGTTTACATTTGATAGCTTCAAGTGTAGATTAAAATGTCATCCTAACACAACGTTATATCTAATAAAATGCTAACTATATAGGGAGAGGTCTTAGCGAATCTTCCTGTACTCATACGCCATCCTTGAGTTATCTTTCGCAGATTCCAATTTTATTTCGAGATTCTTTTATCTTATCAGTGGTATCTAGTAATAATTTTTCTTGAATACATTTATAACTTGTGAGGGTCTAAGATTGAAGAGTTCATTAATATCTTAATATTTTCCAGGTTTGCTTCCCAATCCGCTTAATATCATGGATTTTTCATAAGAATATTGATCATAATAATCTTTTTAATTCAGCAGTATCTGTTAGTTGAGGTCTCGTGCAATAATTGCAGTAGAATTTTAGAATTTGCCTAGCATGTACTTCCATTTCTTTTTAGCTCTTGAAGTTAAGTGAATCTTAACCAAAATTATTAGAAATAAAAAATATTGTTAAAAGAATGCATAAGGTCATATATATGGTTGGTTGAATAGTAAATTAAATTATCAACACTTCAAATATAATAAATGTAAAAATGTAGTTACAATTTTTTATTGATAATGTTAGAGTAATATTATTATTCATTAAGAATTAATCTGGTAGTTCCATATTCTTTGTAACATTCTCATTTTTCCTTTTAGTTTTTGAAGGTTATCGAATTATGAAACTTGGACCATGATTGGTCAAGTAACCATCACTTTCTTTGAACATAAATAGATAAAAAAATAATTTTGAGCACAAAGGAATCGAATCAAATTCACATTATTTGAAATTTTAAGAGTAGTGCGAAATTTCTACACTATAAAACAGCATTCAAACTGGAGAATATTATTTTATTTATGATAATTCATCGCTTTTAAAAAGTAAATAAGTTATAAATAATTTATATTCATTATCAAGATAATCAAACTTGCTAATCGGAAAGTACAATTAGCATATAACGTAACTAGCTAACTTTAGATTTTGGCATAATTTCTCAATGAATGAATTACCTAATCTTTGTGTTATCATAAATAATCAAATTATACGTCAAAATTAAATAATTTTTATGTGAAATACGGTATCAATTTTAGATTATAGAATTTAAATTCATATAGAAATTAATAATTTACAATTTTATCTTACTACACTAAATTTAAATTGAATTATTCCAATTTTATCTGCATAAAAGGGTTAGTTTATATGATAAAAACTAAAAATAATAGGTATGAAAATTTGCATAACGATAAAATAAGAATAATTATTTTATTTAGTTAATAATTCAGCATTAAACAAGAAAAAAGTCATTCTAACTATTTTTAATTTTTATTAATTTCTCTTATAAATTATATTAAATTCTTTTATTAATTTGGCTAATTACACTTTAATTAGAGTTCTCAATGACTTTATAATATTTTATAAATAGAATATTGTAATATAGAGATTAATTAAAATTAACGCTAACCTTAAGAAAGATGAAATTAAAGACAGAAAATTTCAAGTTGTTTCTACTAAAACTGAGTCCTTTAAGGATAATATTTATAAAAGAAGAACGCACAAACTCCAATAGATTAAAGCATAAAAGGTCTTAAGAATTCTTAGAATTTATTTTGTTTATCCTAAGTATTAAGAAGTGATTTTATTTTTATTTTTTAGATATCTAAAATTTCTAATAAGTAATTTCTTTTGATATTAAGGCATTAAAGGGAATTTAGATTGTGAAAATATTATCATGGAAATCTCATATGGTATAATGAAAGAAATTTTTCCAATTCCTGCATTTTCATAATAATAGCTTTTTATGATATCTCGAACCCCAAATCCAACATATTCTTGGATGATAAACTAAGAATTTAGAATTCTGACCTTATTTTACCTTATATGGAGTTGCTTATTCACAGAGACAATAATAAAATGTTTTAACATTCTAAAACTTTTCCACCTTCACTAACTTAACAATAAATATCTTTATAAGTATTTGAAAACTACAGTGCTTTTTGATACTATTCAAACTATTATATATTGACACTCTTTTTGTTTTGTTTTGTTTTGTTTGCATTTTTTGTTATTTCCTTTTAATTCATTTCTTTATCTAATTCTGCAATTACGTTGTTCTCTGTGTAATATTTGGATTTTTACTAAATTCTTCCAAAGTCCATATATTAAACATAGTTAGTTTATCTTCTTCGAGTTAATTTTTCAGATTTACTATTTCTTAAGATTTTTAATCAAATAATTCTTTGAAGTGTAGTTGTCTTGTTCTTTTCCAAAAGATTATTCATTACTGCAAATTTGACTAACTCTATTTTCAATTTTTCAATACTGCTATATTTTTGATTTTTTTTATTTTATTATTTATATTAGTAATACACTCATTCAAGATTGTTATGGCTTCTGATATTAAGTGAAAATCAGGTCTTATTTAATTCTCTAGTCTTAATTCTAATTCAAAATTTTAACTAAATCTAATCTATCTTATTTCTATGCTATTCAAATAAAGTAATAGTATAATCAAATAGGCTGATTTAGATTTAATATTGTTTCGGCAAACCAATTAACTCTTAAAACCCTGAATAACTTCAATTTCATCTTTATTATTTTCATCATTTTTAGTGCACATTTAGAAAATTCTGAAATGTAATCTGATAATTCAAATATTAGATTTTTCTAGATAAATAAATAAATACCTGATTTAGGAATAGAGTATACCTAAAAAATACCTTAAAAGATCTATGGGGGAATAATTAGTACTTATTTGAAATTAGATTAAATAATAGTTAGAACATTCGTCAATTCATTTGAAGAATACATATATTTTACTCAGTTTAATCCTCTCTCTTAAATTTATCTTTTTTGAGCTTGATCAATTTTTAAAAAATGTCCTCTATAATAAAATTATTATTTAAATTTAAACTAATTAATAATTTGAATGAAATAAATGATGTTTGAATAATCCAGAAGGATCATGTTGAGAAAGGAGATGCATGACAATTCATTAATTTAATAAAAAGAAAATTATTGACTATTGAGAATAACAAGTTAAGATGTTAGTTTTATCATTCATAAAATTCAAACATTTATAATTTTATTGATTTAACTGCTTGATAATTAAAAAATTGACTTAACCCTTTTTTATTTAAATAAAATCTGTTCTATTATGAAGCTGAATTGATACTAAAAACTTGAAAAAAGATCTTAGATGGTCAATCTAGTTATACCAAGTACACCTTTAGACTGCTAAAGTAGAAATGAGAAACATTAAATACTCATTCGTTGTTATTTATAAGATATTCTATGATAAAACATTCATCTTCCTTTCAAGATAGATTTTATGTAAAATCTTTATAGAAGGCAAACTCAAAATTAGTCAATTAGAAATTCTTATGCACAACTTATGTCTGAAAATTACACCAGGTTGGCTGATCAATGTATGCATTATGGCGAGTAAAATAATTTTCTAGTTTACACAATAATAAAATGGAAGATAGATAATGCATTCAAAATTACAAATTATCATTATATTTCAAAAATTAAATCATTAATTAATTTTAAAATCTGTAATGAATATACATTTCTATTTCCTCTTGATCAATAGAGTTAGTTAACTGTTAAAGAAGGTATTAGTAATTCTAATTGAACTTGGTTGGATTTAAGATAAAATGGATGGAGTTTTCAAAATATTTTTGTAAATTATGATTTAAAATATTCATCAATAACATTTATTTTCCTCCTCTGAATATTTTGAAAATTTATAATCTTTTTCCATTTGCTAAAAATAATGAATAAGCAAGTATCAATAATTTTTTAATTAAATTTTCTCTCTTATCTTATCTTATTTGTATTAAATTAATTTGTTGTGATTCATCTCTTTGGGATTTTAGTGAAACAACTACTTTCCTTTTATTCCAATTTATTTTACTTTCTACATTAAAGAAGTCTTAAATCAATGAGTTTTTTTCATATTTATTTATACACTCGAAAAATTCTTTCTTAATATCCTCTAATCTATAATCTCTTAATTTGTCTAGATATGCGTTAATAATATTATCATCATAATTAGCAGCTTAAGATCTTTTATCGTATTAATGATTTTTTAGGAGACTTTTTAACAGAATTCAACGTCTATTCAATATTTATTATTAGCATGATAATATAATGGGATCTTATATATTATCTACTTTTTTGAAAGTATTTTATCATTTTTATTGCAAGTAATTTTCTGATTTAAAATCTTATAATATCTAGAAATCATTAATATCCTGTAAACTTAGAAAATATTAGATTTTAACTTATAAAATAGATAATTTTGGACTGTTACTCTCAAATTCTAACCATATTCTGTTTTCATCTAAGTATAAATATTCTATTTTTTTGAACTCCATTTCCATGATCTTTTTTAACACTGCAGTAAACAACTCCAGCAATTAACTTAAATGAAGCCTAATAAATTTGGCTTTCTATTATATATGGAGTATTCTTTACTATGGAAGAATAAGATCCCTTCATCTAACATATTTAGATTTATCAAACATATATTTGATAATATTTTCCTCGTTATAAATTTACATATGTCCAACAGGATCATATTAAATTAATCGACACAGCTCTTTTAAATCCTAGTCAGAATAGCATTAATATGAGTAATAATTAAACCAAATCATTAATAATTAATCTAATTTATATTAAAGAAATTTTATATAGCAATTTTAGACTAATATATTTTCATTCTAAGGATTATACAATTTATACTTTATTACCATAACCTGAACTTTACTGAACCCATAAACATGGATATAAATCATAAGTTGTATCTATGTTTAGCGTCTATTAAGTGATATTATAACTATTACTAATGATTAATTTGTATTTGCTTTTGTCCACTTTATAATTTTATTTTAAATGTCTACTTCAATCAATATTATATCATTAATTGAAAATTCAAATGATAAAACTTTAGCATCTCGAGCCGTATCGTGGTGTGAAAAACAGTATTTACATGAATTGATTGTATATGACCTACTATTCAACATCTCAATACCCATATCCAATACCGACGTTTTCATGATAATTATTCTTTTCAATAATCTCCTTAATCCTAATTCCAATATAGCATTAAGCAGCTAATGAAATGATTTTGAATGCAAATGATGTGACTCCAATTTTTGGAATTACTTAATCACAAAGACAATATGCACCATTTTCAACTTGTTTTCCATTTTATGAGACCTAACAATTTATATGCTTGTTGATTTAAGAAAAAGTTAATTATTTCTAGTATTAAGATGACTATAAAAATAAAAATTTTGATGTATTACCACTATTTGACACAGCTATAGATAAACAGGATTATTCAATTTTATTGATAAATATGTATTTTGTTTACCGATTGATTCTATAGTTTCGTTTAATTTCCTTATATTTTCCTCTTTTTCTTTGTTTTATTTTTCTAATACTATTTTTTATTCTACAATCTCTTTATTTATTTATTCTTAAGATTCTTTCTATTTTTTTTGATAACTATCATATTTATTGATTAATTCCAATTTTTCCATTTAAATAGATTCAATTATTTCTCTTAATTTTTTATTTTCTTCATCTTTACTTTGAATAGATAGTTCAATTTCCTTTTTCATTTAATAATCTAAAAATTAGAAATAAAAATACACCTAGCAATTCAATATGTTTTTAAAGTTTAATTTCCTTTTCTTTCATTTGAGCTAATTAATTTGAAGTTTTATCAATATCTAAGAAGTATTAAAATCTAATGTAATTTTATTTAAAATTCTCTGATTATTGGTTGAATTGTTGAAAAATCTCATTAAATTCTTAGGATTTTTCTAATTTATTAGTTAAAATTAGCTACAAATCCGCAATTTCTCCTTAAATCTTGAGATATTGATTAATTGTTTCCACCATTACATTTTACTAAAATTCAAAAGCGAAGATTTGATCTATAAAAAATCTAATTTTTTCACATATATAGAAAATATCAACTGATACTTCATTATGAAATTTATCTTTCTATTAATTCAACTAAAATAAATTTTCAACTTGATTAATAAGTTAATTATTATTATTGTTAACTATTGAATTGAATTTTTATAAATGTATTTATGATTATTAGATTTAATGCTCCAATCTAGAATATAAGTCTGAATAAAATATTTTATCAATCTTCTCTAATTTCATTTTGTGATCTTATGATGATTCTTTCTTGTCATTTTAACTAAGTTGATCTATAACTGCAAGGATTTGATTTTATGTCAATTGATAAATAGATTTAACATTAATTTATTTTTAATTCTACTATTCCTTTCCTATTGGTTATTATTGATTTCTAAGAGTTTATATTAGTTCATCACATACTTAATCTTGTTGCAATTTAAATTCTTAAATTACTTGTAATATTTTAGATGAAATTTAATTCCTTGACTTTTGTATTTCATTTACATTAGTTTCATTCCTCATTTAGTATTAGGACCATAAAATACTAGCATCTTCTAATGGAGTGTATTGAGCAGGATACTATTAAAGGCACTTTATACAAGCCATCTTTTTGGGTTAGGAATTGGTTTTCATATCCAAATTAAACATTATAATCTCTTTTTTGTGCTCTTCACAAAGAAGTTTCAAAGCAGGAGTTTTCTAGTGTTATTTAATGTTTAATATACATAATTTAAAGATTTTGTAATTTCATAGTTTTCTTCACTATTTTAATCATCCTTTACAATATATGAATCAATGAAAATAAATGAATCATTGTATTAATCAGAATTTAGAATTTATTTTAATTACATTTGAATTTATTCAATAAATTTCTGATCGCTCTCCGTAAAATGAATAACTTATTCACTAATATAGCACTCTTAAAATTAAGAAAGTCTCTCAATGTCTTCTTCAAAGGTGAGTGTGATTGATTATTATTGAATATTTGTTTTATCACTTACAATTTAACTCTGCTTTGAACGAATATTATTAAATATTTCATCAAATACAGAATCTAAATTCTACTTAAGCTCTCTTAACTATGATTCTAGTGTATTGAAAATCTTTAATCTCTTATTATTATCTTCAATCTTTCTATTTATTTCAGATTTGTTCATCTCTTAGATCAAATGATTTGTCTCATCAATCTACTTTATTTTCGTCAAATTCATTTTTTCAATAATACATTTTAAACATAGAAATCTAGTTCCCTAAACAATCTTAGCCTCAAGGTCAACCAAAACGATTTCTAAGTTATGTTTTGTACACAGTTTCATAGCTTTTTCATCCATTTTCTATTACATATATTAATTAGAAATATAATTATTAAAAAAATTAATTGCTATTTTGATCACAGATAATATCGGATGTTTAGTTGTAATAATTATATTAGAATCTCAAATTAATATGAAATCAGTTCAATACTAAATTGTTACTGATACTCTAATGATTTTATAATAAATTGAAAGTAAGGAGGAAAAGAATAATTTAATGTAAGGAATTTATGAAAAAAAGAATACTTGGTCAGTTGATTGTAAGTTGTGCAGAATTAATAGATTTAGATATACTGGTTGAACTATTCAAATTGATCAGTTAATTAATCAACTATTATTTAAAATTGTTAATTAAAAAAAAAAAATAATATTAGTTATATTAGTGATTCTGAAGTTAATAACATTAATTGAATTTCTCTTGCTTTGATTATTGAGATTAATATCTCATAGTCCATATATTTTTCAAATTCTTCACTTTAAGCTTAGCTAAGAAGTTATGAACTTCAAAACTAATCCAATTTTTGTTCATCCCTGATATGAGATATCATTATCAAATTAGATTCAATAATTGAAGGACCAACTCAAAGTCTCAATAACCTGAGGATAGTATGGAATGGTTCTTAACAAACATGGTTAAAATTTGGAACCTGATTTACAAGCAGATAACAGCAGATAAACTTACACACAAGAGTAAAAGGGTTAAGCTATGGTATCTACGTTGTATCGCTAAAACAAAAAATGTTGAACCAGCAGAATTTTCATGCATTCATCTCAAGTCTGCAAGATGTCCATGACTTTGCAACTCTTGTTTAATAGAATGTCAGCAAGGTTGAATTCTAGCAAGAAAGACTACAAGATACAAAGACTCTTCATTGATATAAGAGTCCTAGTTAAGAATAAATACAATTATAGATGTTCTGCAGCAATTCCTCATTCAATCTTTAAAAATAATTGACATCAGGTGCCTGTTAACAATAAACTTTAACAAGTGTCACGTGTCTTTCAAAGGAGAGCTGATATACTGAGGAGTTGAAATGTTTTCTCAAGAATATCACCAACAAAAACAGTAAAGGTATTTTTTAATAGTATTGACATCAAATATCTCTGCTGTATATTAATAGTGGATTCCAAAGGTAGTAGCTTACAGATTGTGAGAAAGGGATTATGAATTTGATCATGATACTTTGGTATTGCTACAAGAGAAGCAATATTTATGAGATTCAGTCACTGAAAGCATTCATATAAGACAAAGATTCTATTGGTAACATATAATGCAAGGAGTTGGTCGGCAACACAAACAACTAGAACTTCATCCACTTCAAGTCTACAAAACAGAAATATTAACTACGGAAATGAACTCTTGACAGAAGGTTTAACATTGAGCATGTTGAATTATATTAAGACATCATGACTTCGGTAAGTAATAGAAATATTAAGAATTTTTTAACAAGAACATCTAATGTGAGCAATTGCGAAGGTTGAAATAATCACAACTAGTATAAGAAAGGTTGTGTATTTTATGTGATGGATCTACAGTAATTGCAAAATGTAATTGTAAAAATTTTTCTTTGTAGCACTTAAGTATGCTTTGATTCAGACTTTCATGAAAATGAAGCTTCTATTTGGGAATAAATACATGATGTGCCAATGTACTTCCAAAAGTTTGATTTTAACAGGACTGCAATAGTAATAGCATTTGAGGGCAATTAGGAAACTTTAAATTAATATTTTTATTGTAGATATGCCGCTTTATTAAGACTGATTTAGCAAAAATGCCATTAGTTGCTATTACTATTTTATAGGAAAATATTTAATTTGATAGCATTTCTATACTTCAAATAGAATTTGAAATTATGTACATTATGATCAACATCTTTGAATAGTTCATTATTTTATATCATCAAAAGTCATATATTATTTTCATATTCTATGAATCGTCCTTTCTTCTTATTTTAAAGGAACTCCTTCAAGCAATTCAATTAATTCATCTATAATGCGTTTTGAGAAGCTGCCACTAACTTTCACCTTTATTCTAAATGATTTTCTCTTTATTCGCTACTATTTCTAAGTATGACTTTTATATTGATGCAAATGTTTACTGTATCTAAGTCTTGGCATTTCCATACAGAATCCATAATTTTTCACAATCTGATAGACAAAATCTTTTTGGCAAAAGCAACTCATTTATATTTATAAGTGACTTCTTCTTTTTCTTACCTACTCTGAATTAATCTTTTTGATTACATTTAATTGCCAAACACTATAATGAATTCTTTTATTTTATCAAATTTTATTTTTGCCAATCTTGAATTCCAAGTTTTAACCTTATAATATTGACATAAATAGTTTCGGTTATATTTCAATGCCCTACCAAGTATTATTAATGAATGCTACAAAAAAAGTATACATGATTTATGCTTATTTTATTTTTATTTTAAAAGCTTTTTAGTTGCTATTTGCTATTAATACACAAAAAAACTTAATTTGTGTTTAAATAGATGATTAAATTTATTTTCTAAAATTATCTTTAATTATCACAAACTCAAAGCGAAAAAAAGTCTTTACAAAATTAAATCTCTCTATTCTAAATAATCATCAACCTTACTTAAGTTTTAAAACATCTTAATATTCATAATTGATTACTAATATCGATCAAAATTCCTTTTTAGGAGTATTAAAGTAGATTGTAAGAAAGGTAAATGAAGAAGCATAATCGTTGAAAGTTATCCAAACTTTTATACATTATTATCTACCTACTTGGATGATTAATAAACCGAATAAAATTAGACTTGGTAGGAGAAAAATCGGCTATTTAGTGAAAAATTAATTAAAGGCATTCTTAAATTAGAATAATGTGCTGTTGCTTTTACTAGAATATTTAACAGATTTTGGATTTAGCTAAGATAGGATGAGAATTCTTTTTTAAGCACTACAATAGCAAATGCTTTACAGGAAAATTTCACAAATATAAGGTAGATATTAATATTATACAATTCATCATTCTTGCACCAATATCTATGGGTAATGTAGGTTGAATAGGTTGTAAAGCAATAATCTAGGGTTAATGATTATTTATTTAACATTCTGACTGCATTAGGATTTTATTCACTCATTAAAAACAATTAATTAAACAATTTAAATTATTTCCTAATTATATACCTTAATGATATACTTATTTGAATTATTTTGCAAGTTATTTGTCTATTGTTTTTTTTGCATGAGATTGCCTAAGAACAATATTTATTGACTATGCATTTGTCTAATATATTTAATTAAATCATAATATAACGAATATCTAAATTTGCATCGAATCTTCTGATATAATTGGTGAATCTAATTCATTTCAAAACACATTCAGGTCAAAGTAATTAGTAAATTAATATATCTATTGTAATGTTATGCGAATTGCATTACAGCTCAGCGGTAAATAAAATTATAAAAGCTTCAATACTGATTATA